CAAATCGGGGATGCGGGGCGTTGGGGCACGCGTAGCTGAAGGCTGCATCGGCTCCTCGTGCCGATCGGTCCGTGCTGGGAGAAAGTTTCACGTCGGTTCTTCTCCTCCGACAGATCCTGGTTGTCTGCTTGGTGATCCTGGATGCCTTGTTGGTCCTCGGCGAGTTGCTCATGGACTTGAAAATCATCCATCCGGACAAATATAAAATAACCCCAAAGGTAAAATGCAAGGAAATGTCAACGCGAACCATGATTTCCCTCTCTTTGGTGTTCAAACCCGCCAGATAGGATGACTGGGCAGGCAGGACCTTGACCTCCAGCCTTGCCAAGCCAGCAGTCGCAGGCACGAGGACGAAGGTCTCGCAGGGACTCGTGTGACAGCCCTGCAGCGTGCGGGGCCGGCCTGGCTCAGCTCATGCCGGTCCATGCAGCAGCTTCTTGTTTCCTCAGGCTGTGGCAGAGCTGAATCACTCTCGCCACCCTTCTCCCGGTCATCTTCACACCGCCTGGTCTGGCTTACCCAAAGCCACTGGCCGCCCAGCTATGCTCGCTCGGGTTGTCCCTTAGAGCAGGAGAAAAGTCCCCAGCCCTCCTTGTAGCACCAAGCCAGACGTACCCTCAAGCGGGGGGGATTTTCCAGCTGGCCCTGCTCACATGCGCACAGGAGGGGTTCCTGGCCTTAAACTTGCACCCTCTTCTCCCAGGTTTTCCACTACCTCTCCCTTTCCATTTTAACCATCTTCCTGGTTGAGGTGGGGTTTAAAGTCTTTGTCTACCGCTGGGAGTTCTTCCACCACAAGTTCGAAGTGCTGGACGGGATTGTCGTCATCGTGTCGTTCATCCTCGATGTCGTCCTCATCTTCCGGGAGCACGAGTTTGAAGCCGTGGGGCTCCTGATACTCCTGCGGCTGTGGCGCGTGGCCAGGATTATCAACGGTAGGTGTGTGCGGCCGGGCGGGAGCTCGCCCTCGTGCGTGGGCTGGATCTGCTGACCTTACCTGAACGACCTGGTCTTTGTTTCTCAAAGCCGTCTGCGAGACAGCAGGGTCTTGCTCTCCCAGCGAATTCAGAGTTTTTCCCGTGCGGTTTTCATTGCTGGAGTGTGGCCATAATTCAGCTGTGATTTCTTTGGAGCAGCAACAATCTGCTGCTGGTGTTGGTGCGATGCCTCGGTGATGAGAGCGCCGGGCTAGCGGGGATGCCCAGCTCTTGTAAAACCCACAACTCTGGGGCAGAGTGGGTTTTACTGGTCTCATGTTCTGCTGCGACTCTGTCATCCCCTCCGGTGACGCTG